GGGGATAGTTTCAAATTACTCCGTATTCAAATCACCTCTCTGCTGGAAATACAGCTTTTTTTACTGCATTAGGTTCTAAAGATCAGAGTAAACTATTTTAGAAGTACACACTCTGGTTCAAGGACCGTGCTACACATTCCCACATTTGCTACCAACCTTGTCTCTACTCACTTCTCCACTACATATTTATTTCTACCCATTCTTCACTCACCCTCTAATTTTAATTTTCTTGTCTCCCTGCCACATGTTTATGTAGGGGGACATGGTTAGTAGCAGGGGTGGAGGGTTTTTAACATTTTCCCTGATTCAATTGATTGTGTATTATCGTTTAGGATCATGCTAGGGTGCCACCACATGGGTGCACCCTTGGTAGCACCCATGTGGTGGCACCATAGCATTTTCCTATTGTTTACTATGTTTGGTTAAACTTTTATCCCATTTGTCTCCCACGCCCTCCTTATCCACATAAATGAGCAAGAGACTCAAAAAATAAAATAAATAAAAATAAAATACACATGAGTGGTAGAGAAAGAGATGGCTGACAAACAATTTTGAGTTCTCATTTACCTCGAACTTTACTAACAATTCTCCTTCCAATAATAGCTTTTGCCATTTGGCTTCGCGGTTATTAATAAGAAAGATGTAGGAAAAATTACCCCTATTCGTTAGGAGTTTTTGGAAAAAACAAAAAAAATTTATTCCATATAAGACTAAAATGTACTCCCTCCGTCCGCAAATATTCTTTCCATTTTTCTTTTTTGTCCGTCCGGAAATAATCTTCCCATTTCCTTTTTAAGTATGCTTTTTAAGGCTAAATATCAATAATACCCTTCTATTTTATCACAACTCTACTTTTTTAATACTTTTTTAATAATAAAAGGAGATTTAAAAGTTTATAGTATGTGCATTTTTGAAATTTTTGCATTTTTTTTACTATTCCTTAATAAGCGTGTCAAGTCAACACGGGAAGAACATTTCCGGACGGAGGGAGTAGTACATTTTCTTAAATAGAACAAAATATGTTTTATTTTCTTTATGATACATAATTCCATATGATCTGCTATATATGCTCTCATTAGCAACAAGTGTTGGATAATGAATTATTATACGAATAAATCTACGAGTATGGTCATTAACAACAAATGTTGGATAATGATTAATTATTTCAATGACTATTCAATTTACTTGTAATAATTTCTTATTCTACTTAAACTGTGTAATATGTTATTTTTTCTTAAAGACATACTCCCTCCGTCCCCAAATAAATTTCCCCTTTCGTTTTTTCTTTGTTCCCAAATAAACTTCTCTTTTCTCTTAAAAAACTATTTTTACCCCTTACTTTTTCATACCCTACCTATCACATCATACCTTTTTACAAATAATCTAAATATCACATCTTACTTTTACACATCACATCAAAGATATTTTTGGAAAGTCAACACAAAAATATCTCTCCCTTAAATCATCAAAAAGTCAAAAGAGAAAATTTATTTGGGGACGGAGGTGGTAGTATTTTAGAACTTCCCTTTGCCAAACATTAGAGTGGAAAGAGGAGAAGAGAGGAAATTATATTAAGACGAATTAAAAAGATGCATCAAAAATTATATTAAGACGAATTAAAAAAATAAGAAAATTTTATTGGGATAGAAATTATATTATACGCAACCAATATAAAAAGATGAGTAAATTCCATAATTCGTCCACAAATAGTTATTTTTTATCCTTTGCCGTGTTGGTATTAATTTCAACGCTAAAAGTATAAATTAGCCTCGATCTTATATCCGTTGACGTATTTTGATATGGTTAGACGGATAATACAAACATAATGACTATGATTGTTGGCCAAGATTCTGAAAAAAACCACATCTGTAGACTATGGTTGTAGTAAAAAACGACTGTATTTCACAAACGACGCGAGAGGAGCGTCCTTTAATTTGGTTGTGTATGACAAGAAAAATATATTATCATTCTGAAATTACTTTTAACCTCAAATTAACATCAACACGATAGAATATAAAATAGGATTATTTGTGGAAAAATACTATAAAAGAAGAATCATCAGGGTAATATTTGATGATAGAAGTCTAAATAAGGAAACTCTCATGTTATAAAGGATCAATTATAAAATTTACTTTAAAAATATAAATGAATTTTTTTTGGTATGAAAAGCTACACCCATATATAATAAAAAGTCTACAAACACTTTTGTGATATGACTATATTATTGAGTTTATTGCACTATGACCCCTCTTGTGGTTTGATAAATACGTACCGTTACCCCGTATGGTTTCAAAACTTACGTCGTTGCTCCTCATGGTTCTAATATTGCAACGCTAATGTCCTTTTAGATTAAAACATTTTTCAAATATTATGTGAATATCTTGAGTGAACCCTATAAATTTGGAAATTGGCACAAATGCCCCTTCTTTTCTATATTGTTTTCCTTTTTCTACTATTTTTTCATAATTTTTTTTCTTCAAATTTTTTGTTATAATGTTTTAATAATCAATTTTTTTTGTGTTTGCAATAAAAATCAATTAAATAACAAGAATTAACGTACACTTGATTTATCTCAAAATAAACATTTTCAAATACATTAGCGTTGCAATATTAGAACCATGAGGTCTATATTGGTTCATTTTCATAATATGAGAATCAATGAAGTATTCTCTTTTTCACAAAATGTTAGAATATAAATAACTGTTCCTGGGCCACAACCACAAGTTTGAGCTTTTGGTTGAGTCGGTTCCTTGACATGATATTGAAGCCTCGTTGACTAAGAGGTCACGGGTTCGAAACTCAGCGCTACCCAGTTTAAAAAAATTAAGGTTTCACGTGCAAGGCTCGAAAAAAACTACGCTTGCACGTGAGGGGGCGTGTTAGAATATAAATAACTGTTCCTGGGCCACAACCACAAGCTTGAGCTTTTGGTTGAGTCGGTTCCTTGACACAAAAGCTCATTTCTCACTTTTTGTTCATTAGTTTTATAATGTTTCTTTTACTTTAATCAAATTTTGAATAAAAGAAAAAAGAATAGAAAATAAAATAAAAAAGAAAAGTATATGAAAAAAATAATTTTATAGAATAGGGAAAATTAAGTCATGAAGGAAACCTTTTGTGCATTTGTCCAAAAATGTTATTAATATATAATTAACCATATATTAAAAAAGATTTCACTCGGTATTCTTTTGTCGCGGCATATACAAAAAGATAAAACTTTTTTAGACAAAAAATGAAAATATTTAATCTGACCAATGAAGTATATATTAAATATTTTTTTTCATTTTTATTTCAAACACAAATAGTTTTTATAATTTTTAAAATATTTGATTGTTTACATCCCTACTGTCTACAACTTGTCAACGCCCACAAACACTTTCTCACAAGTTTTTTATTTAGTCTTTAAAAAAATTTATACTGATAATAAAAAAATATTTTATGGCTCGTATAAAAGTCTATTATGGATCTTAAGTTCATGCAAAAAATTAGTATCAGAAATACCTCTAATAATACCATAAATGTGTAAACATTTCTTCTTGCTACCAATCCTACGATGAGCATCTATTCAATTGTTGATCCGATTTCGAATTCAACTTCTTATCAAACAAACGTCCATACAAAATCCATTGTTTTTTGTGTGTGTGTAGCACCGATTATGTATTTATGTACCAAATACAACTTTGAACTTTTTTACAAAATAATGCAGTTCAAACAACATCAACATGTGGGACTTGGGAGCCAACCAAACTTAGTACACAAAAATTAATACGGAGTACATACTAGTACTAGGACCAAAGATCAAAAGAAATTTGACAACAAATTACAAATTGAACATAAAAGTTGACAACAAATTACAAAGTGAACATAAAACGGATGAAACTAACAATACAAAACTACTCGGTAAAATTTACACTTTCTTACCTTATACCCAAGATACTTCCGGTATTCGGGTGGCCACCTGACAAAAAGTGACCCGACCTGTTTTTCATCCGAAACCCGACTTGAAAATACTGGATTTTGAACACAGGTTTTGATGACCGAACTTGAAGTTGACCGAACCCGAAATGACCCGCTAAAAATGGGTCAAACCCGACCAAACCCGAATCCGACCTGACCGACCCACTAAAGTAAGAAATTTTCAAAATTATGCACTTTTTTAACCTGTTTTTAGTGTATAAATTTATATTTTCAGATAGAATTTTAATGATATTGCATAATTATCTTACTTTTTTTTTCCAAAACTTAAGCATTTTTAAATTCCTTATATTGATTTATATATCTAAAAACTACTTTAGAGTTTAAAATAAAATAATTTTATAGATTTAATACTTTTTTTTGATATTTTAAATTTATTTAATAGAAAATGTAAGTATTAATGTGAATTTAAAATTTTAAAAACCAAAATCATAACCTGTTGGGTTGACCCGAACCCGATGACATTGGATCATGAACATACAATTCTCAACACGAACTCGAATTGATCCTAACCCGAAATAACCTGAACTTGAAGTGACCGAACCCGAACTGACCGACCGATTTGCCAGCTCTAGGGCCAGGTATAATTTAAAGAGGAATTTAATTAAATAGCACTAAAACATAATGACTTTCCCTAAATAGCATCACATGTGCTTTTTTCCCAATGTAGCATTTTTAATCATTATCCATTAGTCATTATTCAAGTAAATATTCGTCATCACGAGACATTATGGATATTATTAAGTGGTATTTAGGAATAAAACAGTTTAAGTGCTATTTGAGGAAATGACTTAAGTTTTAGTGCTATTTAGGGTAAATATTTCATAATTTAAATCTATCAACTTTCAAAAAACACAATTTCATTTTTTTAAACTTTGTACAAAGTCAAATTAAGGTCTTTAAATTAGAATATTTACCACTAACAAATTAAAGAAATGTGGTCACAATATAATGTGAGTCCAAAATAACAAAATCATTGCTTAGTATGTGGCCACCTCTATATAAAGTCGAATAAACCCGCCTCACTTTACCCCAATTAACCTTATTTGGGTTTATTTATTTATTTATAGTGTCCTCTGCTCTACTTTGCTTCTGGCTGGGCTTATAGCTTCATCACCTCTCTAGCTTCTATCATACTTCTCGGATTTTAACTCTGTGGATAGGGTGAGTTTTTTGGGAAGAGGTAAAAAATGGCATTAGAAACTGTAATCTACCCTCAAGAATCGTTATTTTACGGCAGTAATAAAGAGTTTTACGGAGGCTGCAGTTATGGTTTTACTGCGGCCCAAGCAGTTGAGGAAGGAGTGGATGCCGCTTTTTTCGGGACGTTTCTAGAAGCCGATGATATTAATGTCACTCCTGCCAGCTTAGACAGCAAAAGTTGTGTGAAGTACGGGGATTGGGCTGCGGCGGCGGCGGAGGCGAATTCGTCGTCCGATGCCGCGGACGATGAGCGGCGGCCGGCGGCGGCGTTGTCGGCCTCCTCCGGCGGGAGGCGGAAGCGGCGGCGGACTCGGACGTACAAGAACAAGGAGGAACTGGAAAGCCAGAGAATGACTCACATTGCGGTGGAGCGCAACCGCCGGAAGCAGATGAACGAGTACCTCGCCGTCATCCGCTCCCTCATGCCGCCTTCCTATGTCCAAAGGGTTAGTCCATTATTAAATTCCCCTCTTTTAATTAAATATATTCCTCCTTGAAAAGTCACTAGCTAGCATAATTACTCCGTACACAAACTTTGGGACAAACAAAAATTAAAGACGGAAAGATTTTAACATCATTCATATGAGGAGAGAGAATCTTTTTCTTTTTGAAAATCAACAGTATAAAATGTTGCAATTGTTTTCCACAACCCGAAAAGGAAAAAATGTAGCAATATTTCAAGAATGAAGGTAATATTGACTGGTCATCATATCTAATCTTTTTGGGACAATTTATACCTAATTTAGATTTACTGTTAAGTGTGTGAAGAAAATCATGAAAGAAGAATTCCTTTTTTATTTTATTGATAATAAAATAAATTGTCCATTTCAACATGCCTGCAACTGCATGGAACAATATAATAAAATATGTGCGCAGATTGATGAATGTGACAATGAGAGTGACAATATATCTTGTCCATATAGCCATCTTTCATGACAATTCCTGCAGTAAATTTCATGGAGTAAAATTTTTTCTCATGGTTTGAAAATATGTCATGGAAAAATATGTAAAGAAAATGGGGGATTAATAAATAAATAAAAATAAATATGATGATGGGCAGGGAGATCAAGCATCAATAATTGGAGGAGCCATAAACTATGTGAAGGAGCTGGAGCAACACCTTCAAACCCTAGAGGGACGCGCCCGGGCCGGCAAAGGAGAACCGCCGCGGGCGGCCCCCTTTGCGGACTTCTTCACTTTCCCCCAGTACACGAACGCCCACGGGAGGAAGGGCGGCGAGGGGGCGGGGGCGGGGGAGGATGAAGGGGCGGCGGCGGAGAAGCGGTCGGAGCTGGCGGACATCGAGGTGACAATGGCGGAGAGCCACGCGAGCGTGAAGATACTGTCGGAGAAGAGGCCAAGACAGCTTCTCAAGATTGTGGCCCGTCTACAGTGTCTGTGGCTCACTGTCCTACACCTCAATGTCACCACTGTTGACCACATGGTCCTCTACTCCCTCACCCTTAAGGTATGGTCCTATCCCCATCTCCCCTCTCACTTTTTTCCTATATTATTCCGTATTTTTTGGTTTTCTGTTTTAGGAGGTTTGATTAAAATAACTTTTTATTCATTTTTTAAAAATTAATTTAAATTTATTTTATTTAATTATACATTGAAAATTTCAAATTAAGAATTATATATATATACTCAGTATTTAAAAGTTTTGTATTGGAGCATATCGAATGATTAAAGATATACTGGCTAGAAAATATGTGGTGAAATAACTACAATAGTTATTATTTTTCCGATGATTAATGAAAATAATCACAAAAGTATTCAAAGTTTGATTGTGCAAATAATTACATGAAGAAATAATGTTTTAGAATGGAGGGTGTATTAATCCCAACTAAAAATGAATTTGTGTTGCATTATTTACATGATTAAACTTATTTGCATTCCGTCCATAATAAAGAAAATGTGTACTTTTTCGTCACAAGATACTATTCCAAAACAATGAGTCTCATTTTTAGGGTCTTTTTAAAATCATTCAAACAATCATTGAGAGAAAGTAAATTAATCTTTAATTACAAATTGGATTGGCAATTAAAGACCATGGTTGTTAATATTAAAAACAGGCAAATATAATCCGTATTATGAAAAAAAATTAAACAATGTTGAAGTTTCTTCTAATTAAAACCGAACAAGAAGCCTCTAATTTTGGATAACATTTTATTCACAAAAACATCATAAAAAATTCTTTACAATAAAGTGTGATTTTATAACTTTCCGTTTTCCAATAAAGAGCCTTCTCGATAACATTTTCTTTTTAATAAAACGAAAAGTGTGATTTATGATTTATGTTTATTATTGTTTTTTACTGCGCTGTGAGAGTGGTGGCCAGGGTTAATTAATTAACAATGAAAATGGATCATATATGTAATGGACAGGTAGAGGAAGGATGCCAGCTGAGCACAGTTGACGAAATCGCTGACGCCCTTCACCAACTCCTCCTCACTATCCAACAAGAAGCTCTTGCTCCTCCTGCTGCACCTTAATTAGCTTAGCTTATCTTTCCTAATTAATACTCTCCACATTTTTACATAATACTCCTCCTCCCTATCCTAGGTTATTATTATTAGCTGTTTTTCTCTTCTTTTTTCATTCTTCTGATCTGTACTTTAATAAACTTAATTCTCCCACTTGTTTAGTGTAATTTCTTAGCTTAGCTTCTTCCTTTAATTACTTTCATACTCTTACTAGTTACTGGATTGGTGATAACGCACTTGAATTGAACCACACTAAAAGAATATTTAATCCAATCGATTAGTTACTTCAACTCTAGAGCTTATATATCGATTACTTTTACTCTTAGACTTCCAATGTGAGACAATCTCTTAAACACTCCTCAAGTGGACAACTGGATAATTTTAAATAATCTAACTGGTTGACCACTGACAAATAGACTCATCCTCCACAGGAAATGAAAACATCGAAAGTGCTAATTCCTAAAGAACTACAAATCGCTTGCATAGACTTTCAGACGAACAATCGAATTACATGGTTCACATGCCATTTCACATTCGGACAACTAGGCTAACGACAGATGGACCGCTATGAATGAACTTTTAGACGGACAGTCGGACACCTTAACAAATGCAAATCTCTTTAACACTTACTTCCTCCATCTCAAAATTATCGTCATATTCCATTTTTCACTAGTCAAATTTCACCTTATTCATTTACTAATTTTTCGTTTATTGTGTAGTCTTATACCATTGTTTATATCAATCAAATAGGGAACTTATAAAATAATAATGAAATCTATAATACTACCTCCGTCCCAAAAAGACTTACACATTTTGACTAAAGTTGAAATTAAGGGAGGGATAATTTTGTGTTGACTTTCCAAAAAATACCCTTGATGTGATGGGTAAAAGTAGGATGTGATGTATAGATTATTAAGAAAAAGGTATGATGTGATAGGTAGGGTTTGAAAAAGTAAGGGGTAAAAATGGTTTTTTAATAGAAATGGGTAGGAGATTGTGGGACGCAATTTTTTTGAAAGATGTAAATCTTTTTGGGACGGAGGGAGTAATATATACTCCCTCCGTCCCAAATTATAATGCCTGTTTACTATTCACAGGGTCAAACTTCATTCACTTTCTTTCTCTATTTTCATTAGCAAATTGATAAAATAAAATATTGTTGTCACCACTAGTTTTGTAGGTCTTTTGATGTAGTATTTTGATATGTAATTTTTATTTTTTAATTCTATACCATTTGTCATATAAAATGATTTGAAAATAACTTCAGTCAAACATCGTAAACCGAAACAGGCGTTATAAAATGGGACGGAGGTAGTACTCCGTATCTCATATTATATCTCATGCAAGTTGATTATTGGCAAGAAGAGAGGTAGCTTAGAGCACCAACACTCATGATAATGTATAGTATTCCTTATTTTGTAAAGCTCGTAATTTCGAATTCTAACACTTTATTTTTACTTATCTACGTCTTTTCATTTATTGTTATGGGACGAAAAGAGTACCCCACCGCAAAAATTTGTATATAAATGAAAAGTATAAATTTTATTATTTAAAACTATATCCAGAGTTCTAAAAAATAAGATGTGATAAGAGTATTTTGTTTTTTTCAAACAATTAATGAAATAATACAAACATAAATTAACGAAAATCCGTAATAATAGTTGGGAAAAATGGATGGATGGTGTATTAATTAATGAGTCGGTGGGTTATGTTCATACCCACTTAGACCCATATTATCCTCACTTGACTTAATTGATTTTGATATGATCAAAATAAATTTTGATTTGATTTGAACTAGCTATTTGGTCGTGTTTTAAACATTTGAGATAAGGTAGAATTGTTTTATATGATGCACAAAAAATAAAATAGATATGTCTTTTAGGAACAAAAAGAATAAGTAATTAATAAGACTAAATTGAAGAAAACATGACATAAATAATTAATTGTAGGCAAATTATCTAAATAGTACTAAAACATAATCATTTTCTCAATATAGTACCATATGTTTTTTATTTCCCAATGTAGTACCAATATTCAGTATCCACTGGTCATTATTTAAGGAAATGTCTAGCGCCACTAGATATTGTTCAAACTAAATGTCCATCATCACTTGACATTGTTCTCGCTACTTGACATTATTCAAACACAATTTATAGAATAAAAAAGTTTAAGTACTATATAAAATGACATATATTTAGAATAAACTTCACTTAATTGTACGGAGTATCTCTTTAAAAACTTACTCTCAATAATTGTAGTTACCAAGTTGATTTAGTCTTGCACGTGACAACATTGTGTTGTCTGAAAAAAAGCCAATGAGAATGGAGGGGAAAGTGGGGGGATACAGGAAACCATATGGGGATGGAGGTGAAGATGCTGCTTAATTACATTGATTGTACCCGGAGTAGTAAGTACGTACACTATTATCCAATGTTTATGAGTACAATCATTATTAGATAGATATTACGTAGTACTTTTTTTTGACGGCTATTAGATAGATATTACTAGGGTTGTTCAAAAATATCCGATCCGAAATATCCGTCCACGATCCGGGTCGATTCGATCCGAAAAATGGATATCCGATCCGATATTTTAGCTTTCGGATATTTCGGATCGGATCCCCGAAAAAAATTGGATCGGATATGGATTCAATTTCTGGAATTTTTCGGATAATCGGATATCCGATTTTTTTGCTATATGTTTTTGGAATTTTATGGATATATATTATGACTATATGTTTAAATGTAATCTTATGTTGATTTTGGAACTCAACCATTTTGGACTTTTTGCATTAGCATTTTAGAATTTTTTGTTTTAATAGTGTTTTTTTGTTTGTTTAGACAAAATTACCAAAGTTATTCCCAAATTAAATTTGTTGTCATTTTTTATTAGGCCATTACTAAGTGTTGGAATTTTTCTTTTTGTAAATCTATATTGAATTTGATATTTTGGGTTGATTTTGCTATTTTACCTTTTTTTCTTGTAAATTTTGGCTAAAAACTCAACTTTTCGGATAATCCAGTGATCCGATCCGAAAAATCGGATATCCGAATTTCGTATATCCAAATATTTTCGGATCGGATATGGAATGAGTTTTAAATGATCCGAGATTTTCGGATATCCAAATTTTCGGATCGGATCGGATCGATCCGATTGAACACTCCTAGATATTACTGATCTCTTAGTAATTGTGATAATTTTCACATAACCTATCATAGAAAAGGTACTCTATAGTTAGGTAATATAAGGTGAATTCTAACTACATATTTTTTGTGAGAATTTTATTATTGAGATCGATGTTTATATTGTTTTCCCAACGTGCACCTATTAATAATCATTTCCTATTTTGGTTAATCGTTTCGTTCAAAAATTATTTTCTTCCTTTAATTTTACACGAAAGTTTAAAAAAAGTAAAAAAAATGTTTGGAATTTCTATATTTATTCTTGGCTAATTGTAAAAAGTGAAATAAAATGTAGGTATGAATAGTAATAATGGGTAAGGGTGAGGTAGTGATGTGGTTTAAGAAAAAAATATTTGCAAAACAAAAAAACGAGAAGATAATTTATAGATGGACAAATAAGGAATGAAGAAGATAAATTATATATAAGGGAGGAGTTTATTTGTTGTACGTTCAGGTTTTAGGTTTGTTGTTTTAAAAAAATTATGATCCGTATATGATAATATTAATTATTTGTCCAAGATTTATTTGATGAAAATTCGTATTTGCCCTCCCTTCTATTTATTATCCTCTCTCATGGTCTAAATCAAGTGGATTTAGCGTACTCTACCTCTGTACCCCTAAGATGTTCTCATTTTGACTTTTGGTGATTTTTAAAGAGAGTTAAAAAAAGGTGAAAGTTTACCATAATATCCTTAATGAAAATGGGTGGAGTTTATTAAATGAGGTGGGTGAGGTGTAATAAATAAAGTAAGTGGGGGTAGTTGTGGTATTTTAATTGTTAAAAAATGAAATGAGAAGATCTATTGTGGACAAAGAAAAAAGACTATTGAGAAGATCTATGGGGGACGGAGGGAGTATTTTAGATGGGAACGGAAGATGCTAAATTGAGTTGATATATAGACATATATACTCCGTATTACTCCTTCCGTCCCTAAATAAACTTTCCTTTTTCGTTTTTTCTTTGTCCCCAAATAAACTTATCTTTTTCCTTAAAAAACCTCTTTTACCCCTTACTTTTTCATACCCTATCTATTACAGTATCACATCATACCTTTTTACTAATAATCTACATATCACATCTTACTTTTACACATCACATCAAAGGTATTTTTGGAAAGTCAACACAAAAATATCCCTCCCTTAAATCCTCAAAAAGTCAAAAAGGGAAGTTTATTTAGGGACGGAGGGAGTACAAGACACCAGAGAAGCTATAATATAAATACATGTACCCTAATTATCGCTGGTTAATATGATACAAATATCGTATCGGATAGGGAAGAATTTCGATTGTCTTCAAGCTCCAAGAAAGGGGAGACAAAGAAAAGAAACAATTTTGAGCGTTTCCGAGCTCCAAGAAAAGAGAAACAAGAAATAAAGAGAATTCTGGATTATTGATTGCTTAAATAATACGGAGTAATAATGAAGGATTACAATATACAAAGAATGACTGCTTAGTTTAGCTGGTTTGACTAGCAGGATGTGTTGGCTAAACGTTAAAAATGTTTCATAAAATTAGCTGTTTAAAACTAATTGTTTTAAGATTTAAAAATTAAATATATAGGCACACACACGATATTTATTTTTCATTTTTATAATGTAAGAATTAAAAGTAAATATCAGTCAAAAGTACCAAAAATTATCCAAAAACTTATTTCCAAACACACCTTCTGTGAAACTGCATTGATGCACGAGTCATTTTATTTTCGACTTTCGAGATAGTTTGATTTTGGATTCCTATGTACTTCTTGGGCTTCAATATGATGTACCAATGCGACGGAATGGGCCCTAAAAACTGAGGGCCAATACCTCCAAAAATACATACTCTGTACTAATATACTTCGTCCGTCTCATAAAAAGTAAAACAATTTTTTTAACAGTTATGAGAATTTTTTTTTATTTATACTCCTTCCGTCCTAAAGTATTTGTCCACTTTCATTTTTACACAACATCCAATACACTTCTTTAATTCATTTTATCTTGTAATTTGTATATTAAAAAATTATAGAAATTATATATTAATAATCTATATGTTAAGACAAACAAGATCACACATGACTATATTTAGACTTACACATTGAGTGAATTTGATGAGTCAAAGTGCTTAAATGAACAGTTCCAAAAATCAAAAGTGGACAAACAAAGCGGGACGGAGGGAGTACAACTTTGTTGATTATCACATAAAATAAAATACTCTTAACACCTATTATTTTAAAGATTTTTTCATGTAGTTTTTAAAATTTAAATAAATAAATTGAAGAACTTGTTTTTTAAAGATGAGAAATTTTAATATTTTATTTTATTTTGGGAGATATGTCAAACAATTTTGAACGTAAGGCCTATTTAACTCCCGCTTATCGAATGCCCACAGCCCAAATCAGCAATTGTGGAGTTAGAGAATTACGCTCTGAATTCGTTTGGGATTAACAGTAACTTATAGCAATAATACATTTAAATTAATCTATATATTACAGAATATTTTTTTAAAAATGTACTTCTTCCGTCCCAATTGTTTTTACAAATTGGGAATTATGAAATAAAGTTTTATGATTTTTGAAATTTTATAAAATATGTTATGGAGTGGCCAAATTTTATTAATTTTACCCTATATTTAGTTAGTAGCCAAATTTTATTAATTTTAATTACAAGAATCTAAAACTAGACGAATAATTAATCAAGGAAGAGAGGAGTATATATTGTAATAAAATTACTACTATTAAAAACAATCAAATAGTTAGGATTGATTTGTGCTAGGTTTTGTTTTGAATCATAATTTTCTAATTAGCATAATCACATTGAGGCTTTGAATAAATTGTTAATAATGCAAATTGATCTTAAAATTAGGAGTATTAAAATTAAAAGCTATGGTTCAATAATATACTCAAAATGATGAGAGGGAACACTAATGTCTGCAAGACATAGACCTTCTTCCTCCGTAGGAGAATGGTCTCTTCATCAAAACTGGCCTCTTGTGCAGACACTCTGCTATTGAACCGCCGCCGACCATTCTCGGAATCCTCGAATTCCTGCTACTCCCACCGCCTCCTGGATCCAATCTTCCGCCTGAAAACTTCCCGGCCATTGAAGAATCGACCGACAACGACCTCCTCTTGACACGAATTTCTTCAATTACTTTCCGATCTTCGTCGCCCCCATCAGATCCGTGAGCATCGGGTTCTTCTTCTTCATCGGCCGTCTCTCTGTTTTCCCCAATTTCCGTCAACTGAAGAATCTGGGGTTCTTGAATCAATTCATTTTCAGTCCGATTTTCGGTTGTGGAGACAACGGCGGCGCGACACAGCGGGCAATTCGTGTGCGATCTCAGCCACGTGTCGATGCAACGGATGTGGAAGGCGTGGTTACACTTCGGGAGCAGCCGGAGAATCTCGTCTTCCCGGAACGCACTCAGGCAAACGGAGCAATCTGTTCCATCGACTAGCCCGTCGTCCGATTTGTACTTCAAGATCGTGATCGTGTTGATGACCGACGGTTGAAGTCCGATCGTGCGGATGTACCAGATCGGGTGGTCCATCACCACGCCGCGGCTCTCGTCGGCGAACTCCTGATTTTCCTCGTCCGGCGAGTCTTGCGTTGCGCGATTTCTCCGGATCCACCCGAAACAGATCTTGACGACGACTAGGTAGCAGCCGAGGAGGATGAGAGTGGCGACCACTGCGCCGGCGATGGCGGCGTTCTGGTTGATGCGGACGGAGTGAGTGCTGGACCGTGGCGGAGGTGGCGGCTGCGGCTGCGGCGGAAGAGGGAGGAAATAGTCCCCGTAGGCTGGGTAGTAGCATCCATCACCTTCAAGGCAGGTTGAATTTTGGTTGGCTAAAAGCTTTCTGTGCTTTACCGCCATGGGAGGACCTTAACTAATCAGATTGCAGATGATGCATCAAAGCATTAGAGCTACAAATTGACTTACGGAGTGCTTTGTATATGGCCGGAAAGTAAGACTTCTCTTTCAGTAGTAGTTGAATCTTAGTCCCATTGTAAAAATGTTTAAAATCTCTTTTTTGTTTGTCTCAACAAATCACGTTTTATTTTTAGAAAATTCTTGTAGCTCATACTCCATATTATTTTCGAAGGTTCAACAACACAATTTTATTTGCTCGTTTTGTCTCAAAAGATCTACTACCTCTGTCCCTAAAAAATTTACACGTTTTGATTAAAATTGAAATTAAAGGAGGAATAATTTTGTGTTGATTTTCCAAAAATACCAAAGTAGGATGTGATGTGTAAATTATTAGGAAAAATGTATGATGTGATAGCTAGAGTTTGAAAAAGTAAGAAGTAAAAGTGGTTTTTTAATTGAAATGGATAGGAGATTGTGGAACGCAATTTTTTTAAAACGTGTAAATCTTTTTGGGACGGAGGGAGTATATTTTTCACTATTTAAAAGTCACGAAATTTTTTATTTAAATGTATATTTTGATTGATTATTTGATAATATAAAATATTTTTGTCATATATTGTTTTATAGATTCTTTTACACAATTTTTGAATATGTAAGTTTTATTATTAATTTCTATACCTACTTTTAAATAAAATTTATTTAAAGATTTTGAATTTTTTTTCGTTTTGTGTCAATTGTATTTCAATTTTGTTTGAAGTCAAATGTAAAATGTTTTTTGCACAACGTATAGAGAGTGCTTCTATGATCCATCTTAAGTGTATACTATTTTTGTGAACCTTTTTCAATAAAAGAATTTTTTATGTTTTTTTATTAAAAAATGGATGTTTATTGTAGTAGTATGGAAATGTTTGTTTTTGCTCATATACAGGTCTATGGTAGATCTTAGGTATATCTTAGAATTTGCCACGTATAGAATATGAAACCAACAAAGTATAATTTGCTAAATCTTATATACACAAGTCCTTCTATGATGCATATCATTTCTGTGAATATTCTCACATAAAAAATCATATTTTTTAAAATTTTTTATTAAAAAAATAGATGCTTATTTAAATAGTGATGAATGTATTCCACCCAAGACCCGGTCAGAGTTCAGGTCCACAACCAATCAACATTCAAACATGTTAGAATGGAAGATATAAACTAAAAATAACCACCGATCGAGTTAGAAAAAGTCAACCCGTATAGAATCTGGACCTACAAGTCAGAGTGCGTGACTTCAAGCTTGTGACCTCAGACCTCCTATCCCTTCAGAACACAAAGGAGAGGTAAACCTATCGGTAGGTTACTACGGTGTGAAAGTGTCGGCATGAATGACTGTAAAGTCGATTTGACGGTAGTGACCGATTTCAACGGAAAGATTGAAGAAATATTTCCTCAATCTCAGCTTGACGTTACACTCCAAAGGAGGATTCATCAGCACAATATGACAAGGGAATAAAACAAAATGCTACAAGACAAAAGGAAGTCACCTCGCGTCATCTGAAAACATGGGCTAATGTGAACGCACAACGCCATGTCCCTTCCAGCGTCGAGGAAGAGGATGAGCAGCTGGTTGCAGAATTGTCCTCTGTGTCATCATCCATCAATAGACTTTCACCAATCTATCATATACTTGCAAAAAAATCAGTGAGTAATAAAAAATCGAACAATCTGAGCTATTAAATTTAAATGAATTGATTAGAGTTTACTCCAAAAAAAACTTGCTTTCGAGATGAAACTATGAAACTGATGAAATAAATATGAAATTAATATGGAGGTATATAAGAGTATAGATGAAAATAAGATATATTTGGATGTACCGTGAGGAAGATGATGAAGAATAGTTGAATGAAGTCCTGCAATGACATCCTCCACCTTCAACCTTTTCCTCTGCGAGGAAGTTTCTAGGGCCTCCACTAAGAGACGTGAATTTGAGAGTGGGGTGGAGTTGCTCATTGGTAATGGTGGGTATCAGTTAACACATGGTAACGGATAACGGACAGGGCCAACAAAAACTGTCGGCCCATCAGATTTTGTTATTCAAATTAAATTTCATTTAAAACAAACTAAAAATATTTACTATTTGAATGACATTCTAATTTAATAATCAAGTCAATTTTTTATAGTCATTAATTTTACATGGGAAAACCCTTTAAGGATAAAATTTGTTATAGTATCTACAAGCACAACTTTAATCTTCTGGTTGAATTTGTTCATTGACAATTTGGCATGATATCAAAGTTTTACTAACTTAGAAGTCACAAGTTTAAATCTCACCACCACACAATTAAAAATAATTAATATTCACATACAAGATTCACCATAAACAAAAATTGTCCACTCATTTGGGGGCTTGTTAGAGCATAAACAAAACTCAATTGTTATTAATGATGGTTTCTTGTGAAAAGTTTTAAATGAAAAAAGTTTAGATCTACATTTTGTTTGAAAATAACTTTTTCAAGTATTAGTGTTAGCGGTTTTGAACAAATTAAATATATAAATTAATTTTAAAAATAGTAAAGTCAAACGCTACGGTTATATAAACTTTTCAAAACATTAATATTCCATATTTTGATACTACATATAATTATGCATATACAAAATTAGAAAAGTTGTTAAAAGGTGAAAATTATATAATTTGAATTTATTTTGAAGAGAAATAAATACTACGTATTTTGTAAAATAAATCATTTTTAAAAAAGAGAAAGAAAATAGTAAAAAAATATTTTGAATGAATATATAAAAAAGTGAATAAACTTTGAGAGGAGGAATTAGGTACTTCGTATAATTCAATTAACCTACCTAAGATGTGTTTTTTTTGTCTTTGCTATGATGGTTTTCTTTACGGAGTACTAAAAAAAGAACAATAAAAAACTAGTAGAGGGAAAGCATCCGACCACTTGAGCACATACACCACTTGTTTTACTAGTGCTTTTAGTTATATATATATATATACATATATATTCAAAAAATACCTAATATATATAATATCTTACGTGGAGGTCCGTGGGGGCTCGAGACCGCATAGGACTCCACGTAGATCTGCCTCTGCGGCCCATTCATGCTGAAACCGGCCCTGCATTTTTAGGTGGAATAAAATTCTTTTTGCTTTTGTAAATAATAAAGAGGTAGATACGACTTACGAGTATATACTGTTAGATCACTGAGGTCTATCATCCATATTTCGAAATTGATATATACCAGGCGGTTTGGCTCCGTGGCGTGGATATACGCGCGTACGATGGCGATGTCGTTGAAACAAACGCCGCCGGCATCAGAATGGTATCGGGAGATCTGTGAAAACAGAGAGATCGATCGAGAAGGGAGCTGCCGGCCTCCTCCTCCTCGATTCGTTTCCGTATCAACACGCGGTTGTTCATACCCTTTCAGGTATTTCTTCTTCACCTTCTGTCTCCATCCATCTTCAATCTTGTATTTTGACTCGCATCAAAGCCCAAATCTCTCGGCAATCACCGCTTCTGTGCGACATATGTGACTCAATTTGGGCTCATAAATAACTGCCTGTGGAAATTCATCTTCGTGTTTTTTTTTCTCTTTCGATTTTCATTTTTTTGTTGTTACATAAACCTTAGATTTCGCTTCACCTGAAATCTAGATCTAGAAAATGTTTATGCTTTCTGAGATTTTGGATTTTATTCATGTAATCTGTGAAACATGGAACATTTAAGGTATCAACAGGTAGTATGAGCTTTTATCTAGGATCTTATTAGCACTAGGTGCACTTCTTGCATATGTGATTTTCCAAGCATTCTTCAGAATTGCGACCTTCGTCCCTTGTTTAGAAAAAGAGGTGAAATTGTGTTGTTCAAATTTCATTAGATTCTGAACTTTATTCCACCTTGTCTGAAAGTGATAACATTAATATGGGACAGCGAGTACAATTTTGCATTGGCAAATCTTCAAGTATTTTATGTGTTCACTTTCAAGTAAATACCAATTGGCCTTTCCTATTTGTGCAGTCTAGTCAGGTCAGAACAACACTGTGGAAATGGTCCTCCTGCCATTGGGCGAAGTGATTGCAAAATTGATTTGTATAACTGTAGCAGGCGGCTTCAGGCATTATATGCACATTGGAATGAATACAGAGAAATATTTTGGGGTTGTTCTAATGTCCTGGCTATAGCAACACCTCCACCTACTTATGACTTCAGGTACTTGAAATCTTCAGCCATGAATATATGGTTGTTTGGTTACGAGTTCCCACAAACAATAATGGTTTTCGGAGAAAAGCAGATCCATTTTTTATGTAGCCAAATGAAAGCATCCTTGCTTGAAGCTGTGACCAAAACAGTTCAAGACGTTGTCGGTGCTGATATTGTCGTGCATGTGAAGTCAAAAGGTGAGGATGGGAGTACACAGATGGATGCTATTTTCAATTCAATCCGCACACAACTGAAGTCACCTGTGGTTGGGTACATCGCAAAAGAGGCTCCTGAAGGTAAACTCCTTGAGATGTGGGCTCATAAGTTAAAGAATTCTGGACTTCCGCGTGGTGATATAACACATGGAATATCTGACATCTTAGCTTTGAAGGATCGGATGGAGATAATGAATGTGAGGAAAGCTGCATATTTGTCTGCTTCTACATTGGAGTACTGTGTTGTTCCAAAGCTTCTGAGGATCATAGATGAAGAGAAAAGAGCAACACATTCCTCACTCTCGAAGATGACAGAGAAGGCTGTGCTGGAAGGCAAGGGTGTTCGTTTTATTTACCTGCCCGTCTGCCAGAATGGTGGGAAAAAAGCAACGCATTCTTCATTCTCGGACGAGAGAGAGCAGTCTCTGCTGAGGCTTGAGAAAATTGATATTTGTTACGCGCCCATCTTCCAGAGTGGTGGGAAATTTGATCTCAGACCTGGTGCTATAAGCAACGATGAAACTCTGTACTATGATTCTGGCAGTGCTATTGTATGTGCTGTTGGGTCCCAATACAACAGTTACTGCTCAAATGTTGCTAGAACATTTCTTATTGATCCGACTCCAACGTAGATCAGGGCTTATGAAGTGCTTTGCATAGCCCAAGAGGCAGCAATCGCTGCATTGGAGCCAGGTAATAAGATCAATGCCGTTTATCGGGTGGCGCTTGCTGTGGTTGAGAGGGATGCCCCCGAACTGGTTAGCAACTTGACAAAATCAGCAGGAAGAGGAATCGGTCTTGAGTTTGAGGAATCGGGATTGCGGTTAATAATGATAAAGTGCTGAAAGAAGGAATGGTCTTTAATGTGTCTCTGGGTTTTCAGAATCTGCAGGCTGAAACCAGCAACCCAAAGCCTGGGAATTTCTCACTTTTTCTTGCAGACACAGTGGTTGTAACAAGTGGAAGGTGTGAGGTTGCAACCAAGCTGATCTCCAAAGCTCTCGAGGATGTGGCATACACATTCCAAGGGGATGAGGAGGAGGAGGAGCGTAATATCAAGGAAGCTTTGCATTCAAAGGCAACGCTTCGCGCAGACAATCAAGAGAAACGTGAAGCACGGGAAGAGTTGGAAAGGGAGGCAAGCTATGCAGATACGGAGAAAGGTGATGACTCAGTCATTGAGGCTGGACCAAGTAGTAGTGCAGGTCCCTCGAAGCGGCCCAGGTTTGGGTAAGATCCGAACATATCCGTTACTATCCTAGTATTTATGTTTATTCCTTGTTACCTTCTAATGCCTGGTGGAGTGGTAGTAGGAGCACTGTTTTAACTCTTTATTGCAGTTGGTACTTAATTATAGAATGCATGGTTGTGTTTTTTCGAAGCTAAGTTAGTAACCTTAAACTGGTGTAGCATTTACATGATCTACCAATCACATTATCAAATGGAAGCAAAGCATGTGCGCTTAAATAAAATATGCACCATTGAAATGAAGATTTCAAATTGTGTTAAGCAAACATAATTTTTGGATGGATGCAAAAAGAAAAGTAGAGCGATAGTTTTGTTTCTATGTCCCTTTTTGAACTGTGCTCTTTACTCCAAATCTTTCTTCACAGTTCACACTTTATAGATGGAAATTCCGGAGAGTCCTTTTTATCTTTCTTCATTGCAAGAAACTAAAAACAAAGGGTTTTTGTTTACAGATTTTATTAGTGGTGTGCGATTGGTCCCTCACAATTTCAAGTCTGGTATTAAAAGATTGAGGAGCGTAAAAAATATTAGAAAAAAATTATAAAGTAAACATGAAAAACTCATGGAGCTTAGGAACATAAAACAATATGCATGACTAACATAAAGATACATCGTATCATGAAATTTAGCCCTTTGTTTACTAAGTTTCATCTGTTCCCGTCCTTGCCATGAAATTTAGCCTCGAATTAACACAATAGGAATCAAAGTATGACATGATTAAAGAGAAAAGGAAGAAAAATTTGTCGCTAGTTCACCGCTCCGGGTACGAAGCCATCCCCGCCAAGGCCTAGCTCTCTGTCGTTGTTTAGCTCAGGTCAGCAATCTCAGCATAGAAGGTTTGTTGGTAACCGAAGGTCTGAAGTTGATGAAGGAATTGTCGCCCAGGTCTTTCCTTTTGTCAATCGGAACTGTTAGAGCTTAAAAAGTTGTATTTTTTATATTTTAAAAGAACTGTTTTAAGATTCTTTTTTTTATAGAAAAATATTTGTTTATAAAAGAGTTATACAAACCTTAGTTCTTAAGACTACAAATACTTTTACACTTTAAAAGACTCAGTTTTAGACTTAAAATTGTTAAAATATACACAAAGGTGAGTTTGGGACGAAATTAGGTGACGATTGGATCACATGGATACCCATTTCAATAAACTTTGACCCTAAGTCATATTTTAGGTTTAAAATTAAATATAAAAAAACACAGATTAGACAAAGGTATTAACGCGCCCACTCATTCTTGCCCACTCATTCCCGTACATAGGTACGTGTTGGGAGAGAGGCAAGAAACAATAGAAGAGAGAGAAGGGGTTGCCGGTGACAAAACGCGCCATCGTTTAAACCACTGATTCGACCAGTTGAACCAATGGTTCGACCAGTGAACAACAAAACCAGTACCTTGACCGGTTTGATCTTCGGTCCGGTTCTAAAAACTATGATATCAACATCAAGAATTTACCCTCAACTGATCTCTTAATAATAAGTTACTCTCAACTGGTGGGTGTCTTAACAATACTAAGCCAGCATAGTTTTTCAGTAACATTTCCGTTGGTTTCCGTACCATTTTGTGTTGGTATTTTTGGGCAGAGAATATGGTCTGCGTTGAGACCATGATGCATCTCAGCTGCAGCAATATGCCGGTTGAGAACATGAGCGCCCCTCCGTGCGCGGGGTGTCCCTCCTCGCGACCAGGACAGGTTCGTCCAGGTACACGCTATAGTGGCACACCCTGATGTTATTCGCACCTGCTATAGTGGAGTGGATACGCCACTTGAGGCTTACCAGAATGACCTTTCCTATCTCAAGAAAAAGGTTATATGTTCTTTTGCTATGGCTTGTTTCATTGATACAGTTTTGTTCCTCAAAAATTCATGTGAAGATGTTGAATCTTCTTTCTTTATCTTTCAGTACTAATGCTGCAGTTATGTTCAGGTTGATACTGGTGCAGACCCTCATATATTATAATTACTCAAATATTCTATGAATGACTGTATTCAATCTGGGATGTGTATTTTAGATGCTCCATGATCTAATGTCTGCTCTGGAATCAATCAAGGACAATGAAGAAGCTGTAATGGCTTGCATAATTCACCTGGCCTGGCAACTGAGATTTGCAAGAAGATTATGGCTAGTGGAATTAAGACATTTTACACCTTTACACCATGAATAAGGAGACACCTTTACACCATTTTACACCTTTCTTCACCTGGCCGGTTTCATCACTTCTCTTGGTTTAGTATTTCAATGCTACACCTCCAATCTGTTTGTTCACATGAACTTTTGCTATCCTGCTTGCTTGATGTATCAATCTTCTTTAACATGTGACTTTTTACAACTTAATGATTTGTTTCCTTTACATTATGATGGCCAAATATCTGGATTGGGTGTTTAGTTATTCAAGCATTTAATAATTTATGGTTAAAGTATTGCACAATTTGATCGAAAAAGTCAAATTGTTGTAATATCTTTGGGAGGGAAGGAGTATGATTTAGTCCTTTTACCATGGAAAAGAAAATGTAAGTGTACTTGGTTTGATTTCCAAATAATTCTCCTTTTTTTAGACATATCATCAAATAATTGGCATTTAACTACTTCATTAGTAGTTCAATTAGTGTTTAATTAACTACTCACTCCTTCCCAAAATGACACACCTCTTTATTCTTACGTCTCTCGATAAGTTTTTTTGTTTGCATGTAATCTTCTAAAGTTGTGGAATTTTGCACGTTGTTCGAAGAGAGAAGGGAGTAAAGGTTAGACTCTCTTACCACTAAAAAGTGCTTTAATCAGTTAGTCTACTTCCTGTATAAGTGTTTATATACTCTGTATATGATACTCATATGGAACTCGGAATAGTCAGGAGTCATCTTTGGTCTGAACTAGATGGGCTTCTTCAGCCCGAGACCAGACAGAATTTATGGAAGAAAAATTGGGCCATATGCACAAAAAAAAAAAAAAAAGAGTTCCTTGCCTGCCTACCATCAATAACCCACCAGCAGCTAATGGAGCAAAGTAAGATTCACCTTCTCTTGGTAATTAAGGTGTAAAAATGCACACCTTAACTATTACTCTCCCACATCCTTTTTCAATTTTTTTGATCAAACAGTGATATTCTTTGATTAAAAAATAACCAAAATCTAAATAAATACTCTGTTAATGATATAAAATCACAACTAAATCTTAAGAAAATCCAATTATATTAAATCTATGTTGTAACTCAATATACTTTTCTTGCGATCTATAGTAAAAAAATTACTATTTGATCAAAAAAGTCAAAAGAGAAAGAAGGGAGAGATTTTCTTTGGGGACCCATGAATGATCAAACAATGCTAAAAATTCATGAGTAATTGTGTAAAATTGTCAATTTGCATGGTAGAAATTTCTTGCGTTGAATAGAATTGAACGGTTCACCCCAAATACTTTGTTCTAAGTTTTATTCGTTACTCCTGTGATATCTTTTGCTTAAAAAGAAACCCATGGCAAGGACAAAATTACTTCCCATCATAAATAAAAATAATGGTAAAGGTTGATAAAGCGGGTTCGCAGTTAGCATATCTCTTGGACCTAAATAATTAATTATCACTATAATTAATGAGAAGACTGTAAAAATAATCATCCATTGTGAAATTAATGTACCTAATATTATCATGATTCATTAAGCTGGGCATTTACTTTTGAAGGGATAAACATGATGAATAAGAAGGAAAATTATTGAGGTAAAAGAAAGACAAATTTATATCACAATAAATAATGATAAGATGGTAAATAATCATATCATCCCTACCACATGTGAAATACCATACGGAGAGTAATTATACGACTAATAAGTTCCAAATCTAACTACTGTAAATATGAATCATAAAAATTCTTGAAAACAAAAATAAAATAAATACAAAAAAATGCAGTAAAATCAGAAAACTCAACACATCAATGCGGCGGCAGCGAAAAGAGCGGAGCCGACAGATCCGATGAGGGCAACTCTGTTCACGGCGGAGGCGCTGGTAGCAGAATCAGGGGCGCCAATGGGAGCTCCAACCGGAGACTGCGAGCTGGAGACAGGGGAGGTTGCCGGTGCAGTGGGAGCCGGCGGGGAGGTCATTGGCGATTCAGAAGCAGGCAGCGGAGGGCTAGATGTCGGAGGCACAACTGGCGAACCTGAAGAAGCAGTGGGGGACGAAGCCGGCGGCAAGACTGGGAGAGTGGGAGCCGCAACAGGTGAGATAGTAGAGGCGGCGGGGGTCGAAGCCGGAGGCAAGACCGCGAGAGTCGGAGCCGCAACAGGCGAATTGGTGGCGACGGGGGTTGAAGCGGACGGGGAGACCGTCGGAGCCGCAACAGGCGAACTGGTGGCGACGGGGGTGGAAGCGGACGGCGACACCGCGAGAGAGGGACCGGGAGCCGAAACAACAGGGGAGGCCGCGGGGGTTGTTGGAGCCGAAACAGGTGAATTTGTGGGGGCCGCGGGGGTAAGAGCCGCCGGAGAAGCTAATGGTGAGGCTGAAGGGGCGAGAGTTGGAGCCGGGACCACAGCTGCCGGGACTCCGACGGACACCGGAGCGGCTAAAGGAGACTGAGCCATGATGGATCTAAGGAGCAAGGAGAAGAGGAGAGCCGAAATCATTGTAAACTGAGCCATATCTATCCCAGCAAACAAATATACAGATTCAAATTGAATGAAAATCGAAACTGGATCTGGGGTTTTGGAGCGGTGAGAAGGGGGAGAAGGAGGCGTGAGTTTATTATATAGGCAGGCGAGGATTAGAGAGAGAGAGAGAGAGAGAGAGAGAGAGAGGGAGGGAGGAGAAATATTAGGGGTTTTTTCGCAGCGTCATCTTCTTGGAGTCGGTTGTGAACAGGAAAAAAAGGGATGAGTGTGATTGGAGGGAGAGTCCACACACAGCTGGAATGCTTTGCTTTGTAAAGTCGTTTCCGCGTTCCCTAATTTCTTACGTATCCATCATTAAGACTCGGAAAAACAAAACATAAACCTAAAAGTAGCCCGCCCTCAAATTCTCAAAGGTGGATCTACCACTCTAGGAGTCTAGGATGGACAATAATAATTCTTTAAGTAGAAATCAACCAAGAATAAAATATACTCCCTCCGTCCCACTTTAGATTACAATATTCTCTTTTAGTTGAAATTAAGAAAGAGTCAAATCAAATTTTTTTTCCCCAAATTACCCCCAAATCCCCCCAAATAGTGTGAATAGTGGCTGGCAGAAAAGAAAAGGGATGGTAAAAGAGTCAAATCACTATAAAGTTATTGACTTTGTAATTCTTTTTGGGACAAAAATGTGAGGGAATATTGTAATCTATTTCGGGACAGATGGAGTATTAAAATAAAACTTACGGAGTACTCCCTCCGTCCCAAATTATTTGTCACATTTGCTTTTTCAACAGTCGCGGGAACTTTTGTTTATTTCTAAGTTTTCATTGGTTATTTGATAAAATAAAATATTCTTGACGCCTCTTATTTCGAAGAACTTTTCATGTAGTTTTTTTATATGTAATTTTTATTTTTTATTTCTTTACCAATATGTAAATAAAATGAATTGAAAAAACTTGATATTTTGCCTCGGTAATAGAAATGTGACAAATAATTTGGAACGGAGGGAGTATGTTTTTATTCTCGTATTAGGAGTTCGCGATGTGGTAATGTGAAAGTAATGTGATGTTGTACGCATGCACATTATTATACTTTTTGGTAATGTACATGACCATGTTTGGTAATGTAAATGCATTTTAACTCCTATTTCGAGAATAAAAATATGTACATGACCACTTTTGTCTTTTACACTTCTTTAATTTCATCTCTTTGGAATTTTAGAAGGTGGAACACTGAACACTCGCTCTCAGCGCCCCATACTCCGGCCCGATAGGATTGTGAGAGGGGTAAATCATCCTATAATCTCAATCTAGTCTTTAGAGAGGCTGTCTTGTACCCGATGCGCACAAGAAGCTATTACAAATAATAGAACACCCACACTGCCACTGCTAGGATTCAATCCTAAAATCAATGAGCTTGACATCCTTTCCCTGTACAAGTTGAGTTACCCATGCAGACTTGGAATTTTAGAAATTCATATGGAGCCGATGCGCGTTGCACACTTGGTAAAAGTAAGAAGTGCCAAGAAAATATATTCGAGTTTGATTCCTGCCAACTGCGTTAGGAGACAACTATGTTAAGAATAAAGTCTCATGCCCTATTCTTTGGCTCCAATCTATCATTAAAGTCTAATTTAACTCCTCTAAGTATTTATCCGGTGGGGGGTTACTCGGGGATGATATTCATCCTTTTTTTTTTGGAAATTCATACGGAGTAATTGAATTTGAGCGACATTCTTTTATTTTCTTATTCTCCCATATTTAAATTTTAAAATATACAAAGTATACATTATAAAATTGAAATAGAAAATTTTAAATGAATTTTCATTTTCCAAACACTACCTAATATTATTTTCAACTACATATGCATGATAATAAATTGTTGTACTCAGAGCACTGGTAATGGTCATGAAGCCCCGGGGCTTCAAACTGGGGCTTCAAACTTTCTCTCTCTGCCACGTTAGCTTTAACTTACACCCAAAATTCACTGGAAATGGTTTTGAAGCCCCGGGGCTTCAAACTGGGGCTTCAAACCTTCATTTTTTACATTTTTAAATATACATCTTCTAAATTTAAATTTATAATTTTAATTAATTTATTATTTTAATTAATCGCAATGACACTATTGCATAAAAAAATTAAATTCATTATAAAAAAATCTTACATTCATAAAAAAACATTAAAAAAAATTACATTCATTAAAAAAAATTACATAAAAAAACAACAGTATAAAGAAATCACTAATTATTCGAACGACTAAAGATATGCTCGATCAAATCTGCCGTTACTGCATTGTGAATCTTTCGGCTTCGAATTTCTTGGTGGTTGCGTCGTTTCTTTTCTTCGGTGATTTCTTCACGAAACAACGAAAAAATAAAGCTCTTCTTTCATCGTCGGAAGATGAACCCATTTTTAAATTATATTTTATAAATATTTATAATAAATAATAAATATTTTTGAGAGAATATATAGTAATAAAGAGAGATTTGCGAGAGAGAGGTGTGAATTTATAAGAAAAAAATTTGAAGATGGAGAAGATGTGAAAGATTGGGAGGGGGGGTTTGAATTTATAAGATTTTTTTTTTTTTGAAAAGGGGTGCAACGGCTATAAAGCCGTTGGGAGGGGGGAGGGGAGTGGAATGACGCCGCGTCATTCCTTTGACGCAGGGGCGATCACGCCCGGAGGGGGGCGGTGTTTAACGCCGCAGGAGCGTTAAACGCCCCCTCACGCCGTGGGGCGTTGCTGGTATTACCAGTGCTCTCATACTAGTATACTACGTACATTTGTTTAGTAAGTTCTCCGTATGTCTCAAACTAATTTGTTCTACTCCCTCCGTTCTCAAAAATACTCCCTCTTTCATTTTTTTCACTTCCAACAAAACACTTCCACTTTCTATTAAAAGACCATTTTTACCCTTATTTTTTCATACCATACTTATCACATTATACTTTTTCTCTAATAATCTACCCATCACATCTTACTTTTACCCATCACATCAAGGGCAAAATTGGAAGTCAACTACAATTTAACACTTCCTTATTTTTCCACTTTTTCAAAGTAGGAACTCTTTTTGAGAACAGAGAGAGTATTTTTTAGATAATTTTTTCATTTTTTTAAAATAAAATATCAAGAAATTCATATAATTTCTGTCTTTGCCGTATACTCCGTAAATCTAGAATTATTTGAATTTTGAAAAAATCTCATAAAACAAATGAAAGGTTTAATTTGGAACACAAAACAAATTACTGAAAAGGCATAGGATACCATAAGTTTTGGTGCAATATAATTTGCCACTCAAACTATCCTTATTTGATAAGCTAGTATGCTTTATATTTTTATCTTTAATTGAGAAAAGAGTAATGTCTGAGGGAGCTCTCGGGGATGTGGCTCATCTGATAAATAATTTACTGAAAGGGCTCGCTTAGTGAGTATTTGGCGTGGTCTGAGGGAGCCCTCGGAGATGGGGCTCATCCTTTTTTTCGGTATTGCCTCTTTTTTTGCCGAATGTTAATTGCTAAGATAGATCATAGATTTATTGGTTCGATGTTTATAAAATATCTCCAAAATAACTTTATTCACATCTTTCACTTTATTTTATTAAATTCACACTAATATAAAATTTATATTAATTGATGTAGATTTAACAAAATCAAAATCCTTCATGGACCTTCAAAGAAAACATCAAACGATAGGCATGAATATGACTATTTACTATTTAGGGAGCAGATTTAAGTAATTTAACCTTTATTGGTCCATGATACTCCGTATAATTTTACTCTTTATTTACAAGTATTGTTTTACCTCATTGCTTTCTTGACATTACTTACCACTAGCTTGCAAGTTGTGCCAGGAATTACGAATAACGAAGCATTAGGTGATTTGGTGGGAACAACGTAACGGTCATAACTGATAAGAATAAGATTTTTTCCAAAAAATACTTGATAGTTTTTTGTTGGGCAACAACGGTCATAACATCTCTTTTCAATGTTTGAACTTCAAAACATAACCAATGAGGATGTGTGTCGCCATTATTTATTCTCGAGTATTATATAAATAAAAGTTATAATCTTACACTACGGAGTATTTTTTTACACAAATCTGGGGAAACCGGTCCAATCCAAACCAGTTTTTTTTTTCTCCAAAATTCTACACCATGAGGGTTCAAACACCTAACTATTTGAATGTTAAAGTATGTTAATGACCATCCAAGCTAGAATACTTCTTATTGCATGTTTGTTTAAAGTGTCTAATGCGGAGTATTCCATAATTTTAAAAAATAAAGATTCTAAAAAGATTTCTTAAACGTAACCCATAATATTTCAATTATTTAAACTGGAACAAAAGGAGTTTTATCAAATCTCCAAAATCCAACAAATGGGCATTAAGTACTCGATCCAAGATAAGAAAAACCTCTAACCCTACATATATATAAGAGTGCGTTGTTGCGAAAATTCAGGGCAAATAGAAATCGCCCAAAGCTCCATTTACGAAGTATTCTTTTTTAACCCCATCCAATAGTTTGCAAGTTGCACCGGGAATTACGAATACCGAACCATTAGGTGATTTGGTGGGAGCAAGAGTCATAAGAATTAAAATCTCACCACCAAATACTCAGTAGTTTTTTGTTAGGCAACAACGGTCATAACATCTCCTTTTAACGTTTGAACTTCAAACAGAATCAATGAGGATGTGTATTGCCTTTATTAATTACGGAGTATTATATAAATAAAAGTTATATGCCTTATAAAAGTCATAATCTTACCCTTTTTTTATCTGTTATAACTATTCAAACACAATGCCACATTCAGTTTTAATACAAAAGATTATTGCTCCAATCACATAATACGAGCATTTCTCACACAAAATTACAGGAATATTTTAGTGTAATTATAAATTTTAACTTTCAAATTATATAAATACATTATATATGATTGGTTCAAATTATATTTCAAATTACTTTAAAGTGTAAATACATTATTTGTTTCTATTCTCTTGTTAAAAAATTTAAAATCACTAATTCATTATTTATGTACTCAATATATAGTCGGGTTTCATCGAGTCCAAAATTACGTATTCCGAACCCAGACTTTGGCCCCGTTTGGCATCAGCGTCAGAGATTAGCGTTTGCGTTTTGAAAAGGCTATCCAACGGTAGTCTTTAGCGTTAGAGTTTTCAGAATTAATCTGCACCATTAAAATTCTATCCAAAACGCTAACGCTAATTGAAAACGCGGTTACCAAACAAAGCTTTTATAATATAAAAAAAAAACTTATAATAGGTCCGGATCTTATCAACAACTGAATCCCAGCATGATTAACGTTTGGCTTCTAGGAGGATTGCAGAGTAAGGTGCAACGTTGTATTTTCCACCAATGCCCGGAACACCATCCCGAACACAGTCACTCGGAGACTCCAGGTTTGTGTCCACCTGCAACCACCACACCAGCACTGCATTTGATTAATCTCAGGCGCTGCCCATACAAATAAAAAAACCCTCCTACTATCCCCATCTTATATTCTAGCTAGGTTTGTCTTGGTATGGAATTTGAGGAAAAAATGAATCTTTTTTCTGGTTCCCAAGAAAAAATGAATCTTTTGTGGCTGGGTTTCATTTAGAAAAAAACTGTTCCAAACCAGTACCACCCTCTTTTTTCTTGAAATAGAAAAAGGGAGAATAATTGGGTCGGAGCGAGCACAAACAAAGCATTTGAAAAATGAAATCATAAAGGTGGAAGAAGATAAACACTCACCACTCTGTACCACTGTTTGTTATTCGGTGGTGAAGGTAATGTTGCTTTAACAGAGTAGTGATGCGCATTGAATGCCAAATATATGTCTCCTCCGTTTCCTTCATGGAGCCTAATAAATAATATTACGAAAATATAAAATGAAAAGGCGACACATTTTTGAGATCTCAACATAATGTCTATGAAATTTGTACGGGTAGTAGATGAGAATATAGGAAGCAATGAGAGTTTAGTTCTTACGTAAATGCAAGGAATTTACTGTCAGGATTGTCCCAATTATCTTCATGCCAAGTCACATCCTTCTGCGTTTAAGAGTTCCATGTCAAATGCACCAAGTACCAACGAAAACAAAGCTACAGAGTTTCATATTATAATGGATTTGTATGATCAGCATTATCAAGAGAATATAGAAGCCAGACTAGACAAACTCACATTGCCAATAAAACTCTCTCTTCTAAAATGTTGACGGCTCAGGCGATAGCTTATCAGCTCTGAGAAGAATCGGAAGTGATCATCCTTCCTTGCTTCCAACTGTGGTCAAAAGATTACAGTTTCACTTGTTTTCTGACTACATAAAATAAGAGTCTTTGACAACCCGTGGTATGGGTTTGAGCTTTGTTGCTGTTTTAGAAAATGAGTCTGATCATAAGATGAATTATATACCTGACTCCATTGGAAATGATTAATGGCTGTATCATGTCCGTAGCTGTTGTTATTTCCATACCGGGTATGACCATACTCATCCCCCATTAGCATCATTGGAGTCCCCTAATGATATGCAACCAAAGAAGTAAAGAAGCGTATTCCAGTGCAAGCAGGGCTCGGCTAAAGTCTTCTAATAAGGGGAAAAGGGATCATAGCAGTAAGGTAAAATAAACAATATAAAGAAATGAAACTACATCAGAGCAAAAAGTACTTTCTCTCCTCCAAGCTGCCCAAAAAAAAACGCATGTGCATGCACACAAACAAACCCAAGAGACTATTTTTTCATGGATTCGTGACAGCTCTAAAGGAATATCATCTGTTGCGGTTAAGCAACACATAAAACCCTGGTCATTGCATGGGTAGATAATGCATTAGACACCTGGGATATCATCAGCGCAAGGTGGAAATTTTTCATTTGTCTTGAACGAATCGCCTTTATATTGGTATCAGATGTTTCTCCTGTTCACAATTACAAGAGAAGACAAATGAATTGATTATTACAGAAGATATATTGAATTATTGATGAAGTATTCTGCAGTTCACTTTGTCAACAAATTTTAGATTTAAATCAGTGTCCCTCTCTCCCTCAGCCCCTCCCTCTTGTAGGGTTGAACTATGGCTCTAGTATCAATTTTCCACGAAAAAGTTATTATTATAATATCAAAGGAATGTGAAAAGAATGCCAGCAATTAAAGAGGCCACAAAGTTTTAATAAGTTCAGTTCATCACCACCTTAACTAGGTTAGAATCATAGCATAATAATTAGTCAACCAATTGGTCCAATTGTCTAAGATTAGTTAACACTTAACAGTTAACACTATTAAATATAGATTTGTGAAAGAAAAAAAACAGCGACAAAATTTTATGCTTATGTAAAAACAATGACAATGTTTCACTTTCATCATCATCACCACTTGCATGGGTAATGTCATGAGCAGCAAAGAGTTGATAGTTAAAGGCATGCCACATTAGAAGATTGATATAGTAAAATTATCATGCACATCACTGAACATGGCAATTAAGCATTCATAAACTTTGAAGGGGAAGATCTAGGAAGAAAAAGGATTCATTTAAAAATATAATCACCTTCAACTCCACAATTCCAACTAAAATTATCATTACTTCCATCATTTCCACCTTCCCCATTGGCATCATTGTGCTGTAATTTTCACCAAAAAAGAAGAACACCAAAAAAGAAGAAGAAGAAGAAAATTTATCTCTCAAATTTTATTAGAAAATGTTACTTAGGGGTCTAAGACACAAGGGCGATTGGTTCTAAGGTACCTTATTATTGTATGACACAAGGTCATACAGTGTAAAGCCATCATGTGCAATGACAAAGTTGATACCATGGTATGGCTTTCGCTTGTTAACCTGTGACAGATACTAGCTCAAATGAGGTAACTATTCAGGAATGCATGGTTTAATGTTTTTGCTCAAGATTTTTGCTTGACAACATTAGTTTAAATGAAGATCACTATTCAGGAATGCACAAACTTTTAACTTCTGAATTCAGAGGACCACCAGCTCCCAATTGTATTTCTAGTAGTACTACCCTAAGTATTAAAATCTAACAAAAATTTCCTTGCATTAGGATTTATTGGAGGGGGACCTTACGGGAGGTCCTTTTATGTAAACTTTAGGAGTTAGAAGACTCCATATTACCAAATGCATAGCTGGGCACTAAGAATCACTATATTTGGAAGACTAGGACTGAAACTAGATCTCATTGATCAAGAATATTACTATGATGATTATGTCTCTTTAAAAAAGTAAAGTTCTAATCCATATATAAAATATGACAGTTTAAATTATATACTCAATCAGCTTTTTTGGTGTTATATTGATAATAATCTATTAAGATATATGCCTATTACTTCACAATATAATTTGTATTTGAAAATGAAACTTTATGTACGTATGTTGCCTCAGTTTAAGTGTACTTGTCCAGTTTGAATTTTCTTATTCAAACTAGGCAAACCCTGATCATTGATCATTAATTAAATAAAAATTATATTGCATATTAATACAAGAACGATTTCACTAGATTTGTCTTACAAAAAACTTTCAAAATATTATTTCATTGTATTCATATGCAATACATTTTTTATTTAATCAACTGTAAAACTTTGTTCAATTTGAATGAGAAAATTTCAAACTGGACAAATAAACTGAAGCATAGATTGTATATATTGAGAACTACTTCCTCCATCCCAAAGTCGGACTTCTTACATTTTCTTTTAAGAAAAAAATGTGTGGCTCCCAATATTTCTCTCTTCCAAACAAGTTCTAACAATCCCCTTGTTACTTTTTGACATTTTTCTTAAATTTCGTGAAATTAAAGAATGATTTTAATTTAGGGACGGATAGAGGATTTATCTAGCAATGTATCTTAGCATTTTGAAATCTTAAACATAATATTAAAGCAATAAATATGTTGAAACTAATAACTAAAGAAATGATTGTGTTGCAATTGTTAATGAAAATTTAAATTCATTTATGAATAAGAAATTAAGAAGCATAAGATGCAAGTGTGATCAATAGAATGAGTATTAAAAAATGACAAGGATTTATTGAACTTCTTAACATATCATTATTGAAGTCTTCATTATATTGACATATACTCATATAAGAGAAGCAAAGAACATTCCATTTCTCCCTAAAAGTTCTTCTTTTCCTTTTTCGATTGTGTAACGTGTACATATATAAAAAAATCAAAACATTCTTTCCTTAAATTTAGAGGCGAAAGACAATAGCCACATAGGAAAAAATCAAATTTTAACTTGAGACTTGACTCAAGGTCTCAAGGAAGATCGGGTTTCTGTTGCCAAAAGTCAAGCTTCTCCATTTCTAGGGCATACCTTAAAAAGGTCAGCAGAGCCTGAAACTCTAGTTGCAAAGCTTCCTTTCATGCCAGCATCACCCTATTTAATTAAATACATAAATAACTAATAAATAATAAACAAAGTAACAAACAAACAAAAAAATACTCCCTCCACACCACTAAGTTTAGGACAAGTGAAAGTGACATACCATTTTTTTGAAATGGAATTGTGAGATTGATTTGAGAAACATAAATATAGCGAAATGTGGATGGGACAAACATTTTCGGATGGACCGAAATGTATAAATTGGTACGAACATATTGGGAGGGATCAGATTAAAGACTCTTCTATATAGGGCAGTTTATACATTTTAGCATCGTCATACCATTGTCAATAGAACTGAAAGAGTCATTTTGGCAATGCTTGAGTTTAGGGTAAATAATGGAATAAATCAAAATAACAAATTAAGCCTCCCTTTCTTTTTACATTTTATGAAGTTTAGACAGTAGTCAATGGTCTAATGGAAACATCTCTGCTTTTACAGGAATATGGCCGCTTACATCATGACCCCCACACTCTCCGAGAGAGTTGAAACTTGGGGTTTGTACTGGGTTAGTTGATGATACCATTGGCCAGGACAATGAAAAAAAGTCACATATGGTTTCTCCAACTTGAAATGATGACACTTTACTATGGTTTGATATATATGACCACTAGTGCCAAGAGTGCATACATATTGGCACTTTTTTAATCCAAAGTAGACGATGCAATTATGCAAATAAACAATGAAGATAACCCCAAGAGATGAAGGGGAGATTGAGACTGATTGAGATTAGAAACCAAGGATTAAAATACTCAAACCAAGCCTTGATCTAATATAGTTGAGACTGCAGCATGGATTATTTCGCTCCAAGTCCGCAATCAATTTTTACATAAATTGCATCAATATTTCTTCGACCACTAAAGCCAAATTTGCAAATGGAACAAAGCAATAAACGAGTTTTAAAATAGTGCAAATCGCACAAAAAGCACTTAGATCTTCTTTACCTTTATAAATCTTCTTATATCATCACGATAAATACCATTCCACTCTGCCCACCTGCAGTCCAAATAACTGAAGGTAAATATAACATCCTGCAATACCGTTTAGATATGATTTTTTTTAATAATTAGGAAAAAGGAACAGAGAACAATGCAAGATTTAATATGAAAAAGAAAGAACTCCTGCCATCCAAGGCGATTTTTAAGCGTGTAGTAATCAAAAAAAGTTATGCACATAAATTTCTGAGAGTCTTAGGTGGTTATATAACTCCAATTCAAACCCCAAATTCCAATTACAAATTTATTCAGGGCGTTGAATTATAATTGTAAACATGAGTTTCAAATGAAGGCCACACCCCACCCAGTAAAGAATTATAAAAAAAACCATCAATGGCATAAGTAAAATTCATCACTATCATCTAATGGTTAACAAAAGCAACAAATAAAAGAGACATTTTTGGCTGGCATTAGGTGGGAATTAATTAGTTACCGATCCCAGTTAGGAAACTTTCCAACAAGATAAAGGCCTCCACAATCCCATGGTTCAGCAATTATCTTGCACCTAGATAAGACACTATCTTTAGCAATGGCCTGCAGCATAAAATAGTTACTAAAATAAATGAAACACTATATATATATAACACTAGTATCTTAAATTCATACGAGATGATGCCTTTTATATACCCTGATAATCGGGGGAGCATCAAGTGGAGTGCCGTCTATTCCTCGACAAAGAACACTGGCAAGATCAAACCGAAATCCATCTACATGATATTCAGTGACCCTTCAATTTGTTCAGAGACTCAAGGATTATAACAAATATAACCAAAATGCTATACATATAGTTTTCTTAATTAAAACAAAAAAACAAAACAGAAAATGACAAAAGGCATGGATTATGCATAGCCATGTAAGCTGTATCTGAAAGAAAACAGTTCTTTTAATTGGTATCGAATTGGAAAAAACAGCAAACAGATGCATGCACACACGCTCAACAAAAACAGCAGGTCTCTCATACAATTCATCATTTCTAAAGATTGGTAAGAACACAATTGGAGACGCATGGCCCAATGAGCATGTGCATGTCTACAATGCAACGGATTAGAATAAAAAGATACCAGTGCCTCAAGCTATCAAGTATAAGCTCCATCACAACAGGGTGGTTACAATTCAATGTGTTTCCTGGATATCAACAAGAAAAAAAACATGATAAATATTTTCTTATAGCCAACAAGAGACCAAGGCTGTCCAAAAATAAGACTGAATACTCTAGAAGCAAGTTACATTTGTGAAATGCCAATCACAGTATAGTGTTCATTTCATTAGCCAAATATATGATGTTTTTCATATTTCCTTCTGAATTACTTCCGCATTTCAAATTGATGATTTAAGATGGCCAATCTCTCCTTATCCAATCGACACTATTAAGAAGCAAATTAGCATTATATTAATCGTATCCAATCAGTTCTAATGCTTCATTTAGCATCAAATGGCAAATGATTATCTCTTCCAGACCTGACTGGACCATTTGCTGTTCAGAGCCACCATTCAAACCCAAGTCCCAATAAAAACACACAAAATAAGGAATAATTTGCCGTCTTGTAGCACCCAAGTTCATCAAAGCACGCAAATAAAAAGAAGAAATTTTCAAAAAAATGAAAACAATAAGTCATCAACTTTTTTATATTTGCAATTTCGATCTTAAAGTTTTCCTCCCAATAAGGTCTGAACATACTACTTGAACTTCATTCAGCACATGGAACTAACACGGATACATAATATTGGTAAGGACGCGGTATTGGACAACTTGGTGATTTCAAGATTAGATTGAAATAGTTAAAGCTCTCAGGACCAAAATGAACCTTATGCAAAACTTATGTGTACCAAATGAAATTTACTCCACAATGACAAATGCAAAGACATTTTTTAATTGGAAAAAATGTGTTCGTTTCACTTGGACACTTAATGTGAAATTGTACTATTCATGACAACAACAACAAGCCTAGTAGAATTCAAACTTTGTCAAGGTATGGAAGGCAAGATGTACACAACTTAGCCCCTCTGGAAACAAAACAGAGAGACAGAGAGGCTGTCTCCACTAGACCCTTGATGCATTTATTGCCCCGAAACTTCATAGAAAGTAAGAAGTATGATTTAGTCTAATGCGTCATTTTGATTTAGTCCACTATTGAACCCAAGCTAAAACATTGTACTATTCATGATGATGATTAAAATTAAATATTATGGTGAATGCGGAGGAGAATTACCACAGCCAGAGTAGTTCAACAACTGGGAATTGTTGTTTAAATCCACCATGTAATAAACCTGCACATCATGAAATTAAATAAATGCTGTTTACAAGAGAAAGATAAACTGAAGAGGATGGCAGAGCTGTAGTAGATGCTACAATGAAAAAAATTAGTTTAAATTAGTCGGGCATACAATCATAGCTTCTAGTTACAACCATATATACTAACTACCAATCGGGGGGACATGCACCATCTTTTCCTCATTTTTATATTGCCCGTATTTTGTCGACAATAACTTTCTGGGCAGTTTGAATATCTCCATGAACTCCAGCAACTAACAAAGGGTTTGAAGGCATAAAAAGATTTCTACAATCACGCTGTAGTGAGAAAGTAAGAAACTTCAATAAAGATATGACTCCATCTCTTGAAGCCTCTTAAATGATTTCAAAGAAACATATGTAAGAAAAACTAAAGCAGTAACATAAACAAATAAAAGCCTAGATACAAGGTTGGATTCCAAGATCACCTTGTTGTCAATGCCTCGAAATGATGTTGTGTATGGATTCTCATCATCAGCTTCATTTGTATGGTTGTAGACAACATCTAAAATGACCTATGAAATTGTGAACAAGTCAGGGTATCATAAAAAAGCATATACAACAAGTTGTTTGACAAGAACTCAGGAAGTACATGCCTCTATCCCAGCACCATGCAAGGCATTGACCATTTCTTTAAGCTCCCTAGAAGCATTAACAGGACCCCCAGAAGCACTTGCATAGCGACTCATAGGAGCAAAAAAATTAATTGTAGAATAACCCCACGTGTTGATCTTGAAAAGAAAATTTCATCACATTAAACCAAGATGAGCAGAGTTACTTGTAAGCCATGACAAGCAAGGAAGTAACAAATTGATAGGTGGTAATAACACAATTCAATAAAAGTATGAAAGTGAGGGCATAAAGTCAAAGCTTACCATATGGTCTCTAGGATTTGGTCTCCTTTGGAATTCCAATTCATCAAACTCAAAAATAGGCAGTAATTCAACTGCATTGATGCCAAGCTCTAAAAGATGTGGAATCTTCACATGCCAATGAGAAAAAATATAAATCCTTACTAGTGTGGAACATTATGTGAAACTAAAAACCCATAGACATTACCTTTTCAATCACACCAAGGTAGCTCCCCCTGATGTCTGGATCCACGTCACTTGATTCATCGGCTGTAAAAGCACGGACATTCATCTCATATATCACAAGATCTTTCTGCAAAAATAAAAAGGGAAACACAAACAAAAACATGTTGAATAGTGAGATGATCAGTCATTTGAAGAACGGGCTTGAGTTGCTACAGGCAATGCATTTAATATAGAGAGAATAAAATGAATCAAATGGCATGCTATGCATGAGAATTTGAAGCTCCATAAGTAGACTATTTAGACAGTTGCAAAGCTTAAATATCCCATGTAAGCTTACTAGTTTGACATGAACCTAATAATGTCTGCATGGCTCAATATACCTCAGGGATATTTGGAAGCTTATAGTTGTCACCCCAGTCAAAAGGCAAGCTATCAAAATCATAAGTTCCATAAAATGTGCACATCCTATTGCTAACATCTCCAAACAGCCGACGACCTTCAATAAGTTTTGCATAGGGATCTATTAAAACATTTTTATAGTCAAATCGATGTCCCCCATTCCAGCTCCGAGGACCATCAATACGATATCCATACTGTACTCCACTACGGGGAAGATCCTGCATGCCGAAAAGCATAAGAATGCACATGAAACAAATATAATCAATTAAAACACTAAATAAGGCAACTTTAGAATAATGATAATAACACCGAACAATTACATTGAGAAAAGTATATTAACACTCTCAGAGAGGAATAAGTTGGAGAGATCTATTTAGACAACCTTATGTAAGCACATACAAGTATAGTAAAACATCAGGCAGTAGCCACTAGCCAATGATCGTCTTTGTGAATTGTTTAGAGTTAAAATCTTTTCTAAAATGTGTGTCGAACCAAACTTCTTGAAAGATCGTAGTTGAGAAGGGTTGCACTTGAATTTCTGAGATAGATGTAAACTTCAGAGAATGGCACATGCTTCTCTCTTACTAAATCATGAAAACAGAAATGCTGCATTTTTATACTCCGGGTATCCAATTATCCATTCTAATTGTTTCCACTGCAATTTCATTGTTCCAATGATTTCTTCTCTTCATTTTAGTTTAAAATATGGAGTATGTTTCAAATATGCAAGAGGTGATAACTCCATTTACTCGGTTTCAAAATCACAACAAAGTGATGTTAGAGCAATGATTGTTACTACCTCAACACATATGTGCCATATATCCCCAGTTCGATTCATCTGGGGATCCAATGCCAGTTCATAGGTCCCAGAATCAAGGTTGTCCTGTAGTGTCCTAAATGCACAAATATTTTGCAAATACTGTGATTAGCGAAGGCATACATGTACACATATACATGGATATTATTTGCGCAATCATATCCAGAAGACTAGAAGATAATAAAAAAGAAGGGAACGCTACAACGAACATCAGAAGACAGGTAGATAAAATTTGTCAACAACCCTAAAAAAGGCAGAAGTCCGAAAATTGAAATCTCCAATAGAGCTGCTAAACAAAAAACACAAGCACTTGGTTTAAATTTAAACCCTTGGCATTTCACATATAAAGAAATGTTATTCGAACCTCTCGGGAAGGATTAGACAAAGAGTAACTCCAGAAGAATGCTGAGAAAAAATTGCAAAGTTAATCCCGTTTTCAATTTCTGATACTCCTAATGGATGAGCTACACCCTGGGAAACACTGAGTGATGGTATAGTTTCCAGCATTTCCGGAGCTTCTTCCTGTAATAAAAAAGAACACACATTTGAAAGAACAGTCTTATTATCACAACGGATACAACATTTCTACATCTTGTAGCATTGATAGAGTTAAACTGTAAGCATACAAAAACATATTTAAAGACAGCATTTACCTTCAAATAAGTAAAACAAACTCTTTCAAAAATATGGATTGCTTCTTTAAAACGCTCATAATATCAATTACAGAGTGCCAACTAAAAATGCTCAATCAAGAGAGAGAAGACTTGAGTTAGTTATCAATTTGTGCAACTTCAGGATCTGAAGAGCAACAATGATGTGAAATTTTCATTCCAAAGTACAAATACCAGATTCAAGCTGGCAAATTGAGATCAAGTGTTCCTCACTCCGAAACCCGAAACCAAACTCGTGGATATGCAAATATATAGACATGATAATAATCCATTGACGAATGAAATCTACCTCGATCAAACGAGGTTCTTCAGCTCCACGACGAGCAAAGGCAATGACCTTATGACTGTGAAGTTCAGCTGACTACATTTAAAAACAAATGAAAAGCCGCATAAATACACGCTTATGAGTTCAAAAATTCACATCACTAGCTGAATGATGATGATGATGATGCTAATCATCCTCGTCTAACCTTCCTGAGAAACCTCCGGCCTGAATTTTCCGACGAAGCTTTTCTACTCCACTTCAGACTGTCCAAAAACCGTCAAGCATGATTACAGCAGAAAATTGGAGCTAAAACCGATCGAACCTCACTGTAACCTGTATTCGAACTATAATAGCAACGAATTTGTTACCCCAATAGCGAAGATGTGGTAGATGGATGATGATTGAAGAAGGGATGGTTGAAATTGGGGGGAAGAAGACCATGCGTCATCCCCGACTGCATCTTTTACTATGCTCTCTAGTCGCTACTGATTGATTCTGGCAGGGGTGGGATCAGACGCAGCCGTCGACTGACCGGTGAAGTGTACAAATTTATCAAACTTTTTCTTCCCTTTTTTTGGCCACATTCACCGCCCCACTTGGACTATTTAGTCGCCAGCTGGCAAGCTTGTAGTCTTGTATGGCTGCCACGTGTTTGTCATTCTAAATATAATGTTTACTAGCATTTTGACCCGTGCCATGCACAGGGTTGAACAAAATCTTTTTCGATTCTGAAATTTTTTCAATAAAATATTTTTTTGATATAAAGATAATATATTTCTGAAAAATTTTTAATAACATAGAAAAAAGACAAAGTACTTAACATAGTTTCTTTTAATACTAAATTTTCTAAAAAAAAACCTCAGGGTATAACATATTTTTGGTATAGTTGTAAGGGTTTTTATTTTCATCTAGAAAAAATATTTTTAATCGTGTCTCTGTATTCACTTATGAAATAGAAACATAAAACTGTCCATGAGTGAACACTGACTTGGTTAAAATAATCAAATAAATTACAATATTCGACCTTGATTTTTGTTCAATGTCATTGCAAAACATAAAATCATTCGGAATTATCTTCTTTGGAACTTCAAGGTAGTCCTAAATCGAATGGTTCCAAATTCATATGGGATATATAAACCTTTTCCCCAACTTGATTTCACAAAACCAACAATAACACTGATAACATTCTTCCTCCCACCCCCTTCCCCCTCCCCCCCTCTGCTTTAAAACTATTTTATGGTTTAGGATCCCCAAACATTTGGTTTTATTTTCATAAGTTATTCTTGATGAGATAACTTATGTCTAGAATCAAGAATTCGGGTAGAATATCAACGCCACTTGTTCCATCAATCACTTTTCCAAGCTTTCCATCTCCAAGTTTGAGTATTACATCAGGATAAGCTTGTGTGTCCCTGTCCGTGCAAGAGGGCATTAACGAATGCAATCTTACTATTCGTTAACGTATAAACTTTACAATAGGACCACAACTTCGATGAATTGGTGATAGCACCTACGGGTCAATTATGTTTTGTCTATTATGCACGCAAAAGCTTGATGAATTTAGTGTAAAATTGTTATATGCTTGAAGCACTGTATAGATAATTTTTTAGACAAAATGTACTGGAAATATAAAATATTTAATTTGAAATAAAATTACCATGTGTCACATCACATAGCATATATATTACTTCTTAAATGGGTTTGATTATGCGTGGCTATAGTCAATGACGATCCATCTCTATCTGTATATGTAATATCTAACATAAAATTATACTAATATTTATCTCATGAGAAAGTACAAATGTTTTTTGTACTTTTTTTGGCATGCGTTATAAATATATTTTTTATTTTTTTATACATAACGTTTTAGAATAAAAGCTTTGGTCCATAATAATGTCTTTCTTATGTATATTAGAATAAAAGCTTTGGTCCATAATGCCTTTCTTATGTATATTTTAATCCACTATAAAAATTTTAAATTTTAATCATCATTAAAATACCATTGCCATCATCATTATTATTACTATTATTCAACATCACTTAGAGACAAAATTTTAATCGGTGTTCTTTATAAATGATAGTTTTTCAAAAATAGAAGCTTCGGGTTACTTATGAAGCATATGTACTAATCATTATATAAATCATTTTTTTGAAAAAAGTAAAAATGGAAAGTGGTGGGTAGTTTTACAAAGTTACATAAAAATAAATTTATCTTGTCAGATATTTTCAATATTAATTAAAATATTTGTAACTACATATGTCCTTTTCCTTATTCCTTTAAATATTTTCCATGTTAGTGAAAATATTTATATGAAACTCCATATGGAATTTCCCATTATTTTATAATTTATAAAAAAATGTGTATGAATAATTTAATGAGTTACAAAAAATCATACAAATATATTCATTTTGCCAAAGTTTTCCTCATTTAAAATTTAATATATAATTTTATTTCTAAAATAATAAATTAATTATGTATATTAAGAGCTTTAATAAGAAAACTTCCATTCAATGCTCTTGCTGACATGGATGAGGAGGTGTTAAAAAAATTGTCTAGTCAGCGTGCCAAATGTCGTAATTCTGGAAGCTCAACTCTCCTTTTTAATATATAAAGGATTTGTTTGCATATTTTTATGATGCATTTGATAAAAAAATATTTTTGTCATATCTTATTTTGTAATTTTTTTATGCAATTTTGAAAGGTATAATTTATAGTTTTTATTTTTATACTAATTTGTAACTAAAGTAATTTTAAAAGTGGTGAAATCTTACATACTCGAAGAATGACATACATTGAGGGACGGAGGGAGTGAAATTTAACGGACTACTATATTTATTAAAGGAATAACTTCGAGGACAAAGAGTAAAAAACTATATAAAAAAACCAAAATATGAGTCTTAAGTATTTTAAGATCAAAATAAAAGTTTGCATTGTCATTCTTACATTGTCAACTCACCACGTTGTCAAATTACAATTGTCATACTTTCACTGTCATACTACCATCTGTCGTCATCAGCCACCACAATGTCACTATCGATCACCGATAGTTGACTAATCACACTATCATATTACACTCTCATCATTTGTCTATCACGCTGTTAATGCATCCTCTCACACCACACTAACTTTATACTTTTATTTTTGTTTTAAAAGGCTTGAGATCCCTATTATGTCACTATTGATCACCGATGGTTGACTAATCACACTATTATATTACACTCTCATCATTTGTCTATCACGCTGTCAATGCATCCTCTCACACCACACTAACTTTATACTTTTATTTTTGTTTTAAAAGGCTTGAGATCCATATTTGATATTTATATACATTTTTACTCTAATTTAGGGGAATTTCTTTTTATTAACATTTTTTATATAAAAGTGTGAGATATGAGTCATTTGAAAATACTCAGAGCATGAACAATGGCAAAACATATTCAGGAATGCCACACACTAACGTGTTATAGTTCAACCAATCGAAAAAACAACATTGTCAAGCAATGGCATTCTAGTGGGGTGACATGTTCTGCAATGACAAGTCATTGTTTTTTTCAATGTTCACATTTTTTGACATATCTTAATTAGTCAAAGTAATTTTTTTTGTAATATATGTATTTTAATGAAAAGTTTAATCTATATAATTTAATTATTCAAAATTATTTTAATTATCAATTTGAAACTATTTATAATTAAGACCCCTGTGAATACAAAAATACAAATTCACTGCAACCTGCGCGCCATGCCGCCAAGCTCAAATTAGGGCACTCGTTAAAGGAGTGGGAACAACCTATGCACCCGGCAGCCGCCGCCGGCCAAGACCCTCAACACTTCCAAAGTTTCCATTCAACCATTAGCTCTATGTTTCTTTGAATGGCACTAGAATTTTGCTTCAACGCACTTACGTCAAAACCTATCTTGTTTCTCCGCTCGATCATCTCAAGGTAACATCTATTTCAGTTGCGCAGGTTTTTGAATTTTATGCCGTTTCTCTCAATACCGTCAATATAGTTGCTTTATCCTGGGAAATATGCCGCTGGCGAGGCGCTATAA